GTCCCGCATGGGGCTCCTTGTGGGAAGCCTGCTTCTCCCTCTGCCTATGTCTCTGCCTCTCTCTGTGTCTCTCATGAATAAATAAACAAAACAAAACAAAAGATCCTACCAGGGTGTCCAACTCTTGGTTTTGGCTCAGGTTATCATCTCGGGGTTGTGAGATGGAGCCCCATGCGGGCTCTGTGCTGAGTATGGAGTCTGCTTAAGATTCTCTCTTCCTCTCCCTTTGCCCCTTCCCCTGCTTGTGCATGTGCTCTCTCTCAAATAAAAAAATAAATAAAATCTTTAAAAAGAAAGATCCTGCCAAAGATAAAGCCTACCAATGATAATAACATGGAAAGACTTGCATATTGGTAATATTAAGCTTAGGGTGTAATTAAAAACCTCTGGGCATAAAAGGATAAAGAAATGTGCTAATTAATCACAACTTTGTATATCTGATTGTTTAAAAAACTTAATGCTTTTAAAAGCAAAAGCAAAAGAGACCCAGATCCTAGATCTAGGAAAGATCTTAAAGGCTAGTCTGATCTAGCCACTGGCCACAGAGGCACCAGCTCAGGTACAGCAGTGTACTCCCAAGAGATATTTGGTATAGCCGCCAGGCACTTCTGTACAACATCCCCGATTTCCCTAGGATAATAGTACCGTAGGTTTTGGGGAAAGACTAGTACATGCATTTTACATGTACTAATAACAACTACCATTTACTAAGGGCCTGCTCTAGTAGACTGCTAAATCTACATCTAATTTAAACCTCACAATAGTGAGAGGCACTATTATTTCCATTGTACAGATGAGCTAAGTGAGGCTTGGTGAATTTAACTAACTTGCTCTGGCACTAGTTGGTAACGTTGTTGAGCCCAGTAGAGTGTGGGTATTTGTGGGCCACAGCTGCCCTCTTTTCAGGATGCATACCCACTGCCTTCAGAAAGGGCTTCTGCTGTATTGGCTCCTGGACACATACATATGGGATGTTTCTAGCATGATTTGCTCGATCATTTCCTTCAGATTAGGAGTTTTTAATCTAAGGGCTATGGGACCCTACAGGATCCTCAAATTGGTTTCCAGAGATAATGAATCCATTGAAATTGGATGTAAATTTGGTGTATATCTGCACATATTAACTTTTCTGTGAAAAGGATCCATTATTTCCATTGTTTCTTTTTTTAAGATTTTATTTATTTATTTATTTATTTATTTATTTATTTATTTATTTATTTATTTATTTATTTATTCAGAGAGAGAGAGAGAGAGAGAGAGAGAGAGAGAGGCAGAGGGAGAAGCAGGCACCATACAGAGAGCCTGATGTGGGACTCGATCACCAGTCTCCAGGATCACGCCCTGGGCTGCAGGCGGCGCTAAACCGCTGCGCCACCGGGGCTGCTTAGGATCCATTGTTTCCATCAGATTCCCTGAAGAGGTTTGGGACTCAAAAGACAGGTTAAGAACTACTGAGGTTAGATGCAAAGAGATTTTTTTCCACCCTCACTGGAAAGTGTTTCAAATGCCCAATAACACTGACAAAGGAAAGTGATACATTTAGGAGAAATAAGTTGCCAAATCCTACATAGAAAGCAGGGTCAAAGTCAAAACGGCACTTTTTGTAATTTTTTTTAAAGGTTTTAAAAAAAATTATTCACGACAGATAGAGAGAGAGAGAGAGAGACAGAGACAGAGAGACAGGCAGAGGGAGAAGCGGAGAAGCAGGCTCCATGCAGGGAACCTGACATGGGACTCGATCCCAGGTCTGAAGGCGGCGCTAAACCACTGTGCCCCTGGGGCTGCCCCAAAACGGCACTTTTTGTAAAGTCACTGCAGAGAGGGCACTTGAAGATACCAAATTTCATCTCTGTCTCAGCAGAATTGTTAAACACTTCCCATCTACTTGTTCCAGACATCTTTAGAAGATAGTATTTTTGACAAATTTGATACATAATGAATGGATATCAAAGTACCTTCAGTTCAGGATAAGGGCTGGGCCACAGGTTTAGCACAAAATTGTGGCTGATAAATTTTATGTAGGTCAATACCTTTTATCATTTTTTAAAAGATTTTATTTATTTATTCATGAGAGACACAGAGAGAGAGAGAGAGGGAGGCAGAGACATAGGCAGAGGGAGAAGCAGGCTCCACGCAGGGAGCCTGATGCAGGACTCAATCCTGGGACTCCAGGATCGCACCCTGAGCAGGCACTGCTCTAGAAGGCAGGCACTAAACTGCTGAGCCACCCAGGAATCCCGCTTTTATCATTTTTATCAACTTTTTAAAAGATTTAGTTATTCAAGAGAGTGAGTGTGTATGCACACAGGGCTGGGGAAGGGACAGAGGGAGGGAGAGAGAAGTTCAAGCAGACTCCTCGCTGAGCACAGAGCCAGATCCTAAGATCAGGGCCTGAGTTGAAATCAAGAGTCAGATGCTTAACTGACTGAGCCACGCAGGCGCCCCTCATCTTTGTCAACTTTTAAATAGGGTCAGGTGTGCAGGTAGAAGATCCAACAGTAAAAAAAAAAAAAGATCCAACAGTTATGTTACTGCACTTATGCTGAAATCTGTGCTGGAAAAAACATTCATTTTCATCCTTCTGCACAAGCCCTCCCCTCTGCCTATAATGCCCTTGTCCAACAACTTTGAACACTGCATTTACATTCTGGATTGAGGTCTTCCATGACTCTTCTGTGATTTTCCCATCCTTCTCCTCCCAGGCAGAACGGTCCTGTAATTTATGTTCTAGCCATTAGTACACACTTTCATCACTGTGTCCTTGTCAGCACTTTCTGTGTCTGTTTCATCCGGTCCATGAGCCTCTGAAATGCTATAGCTGTGACTTATTTAGTCTTCCTTGTCCCTGGGCCACATAGTGGTGGCTGGAGTTTGCTTATGGATAAAACGTTAGCTTCCATTAGGAAGGCCCTCCTTGGGTAGGCCATGTTGAAAGCCACGGTTAGGTGTTATTTGGTTAAATGAAAGCGGCAATGACTTGTTCATGAGTAAACAAAATGCCTTTCAGTGACCTCCAGAAGTGACCTCCTGTCTCATGTGTTGAGGAAACAATCAGGAAAAGACCCAGACATCTAGGCAGGTAAGAAAACAACGAGGTTAAGAAATGGAAGGATTTTAGATTGGGAATAGCTAGGGATCAGAACAGGGGCCAGCACTCAGGCAAGCAGAGAGAGGTTTAGTCTGGTTGAGAGAGAAGGGACTTCTTGAATACGGAAATGAAGAGAAGAGATAATAGGTGGATTGAAAGAATAATGACGGTCACTTGGGGGCAGGGGTTAGAGACTCTAAATGGATCTATTTGGACCCTAGGGACTCACTCTTAGTGACAATTGCCTACAGAGTAACAGCTCGATTCTGGGTCTACTGCTCTGTTGCTTAAACATAGCTTGTATTCTTGGATACTTCACTAGAATTATTCAGTCTGAGCTTTAAGGGGCCACAGAAATGGTCTGGACCATTTTCTTTTTAAAGATACATTTATTTGAGAGAGAGAGAGAGAGAGAGAGAGAGAGAGAGAGAGAGAGAGAAAGACCAGGGGAGGAGCAGAGGGAGAGACAGGATCTCAAGCAGGTTCCATGCCCAGTGTAGAGCCTGACACCAGGCTCGATCTCACAACCCTGAGATCATGACCGGAGCCAAAAATCAAGAGCCAGATGCCCAACTGACTGAGCCACCCAAGGGCATGTCTTTTGATTTGACTGAATGACTGAAGCTCAAGAGGCAGCAAGGCAGCTCTGAATCCAGTCTAGAGACACTCAGCTTCCACTGGGTTCAGCTTGAGGCGGGGCGAAGGGGTAAGGCATGTCTAGGGGCCCTCGAGGGATCTATTTCGAAGGTTGTGACCCCAGGAAAGTCTCTGACTGAAGCGGGTGGCTCAAGGGCTCAGAGCTTGGCTCCTTAAGATACAAACCAAATAAAGGCTTTCCAAGAATTAGGTAGTTGGTCAAAAACAACTTTGGTAAACAAGCCCAGCTTTTCTTCTTTGGTAACAGTTATTTCCTCTCCATTAAAGGTTAACAAAGAGAGGAGTTTGTTTGCTGGAGAAAGCCTAATGAGCTCTTAGCTCTACCCTGCAACTCTGGGAGGAGGGAAAATGTTAGTTTTTAGTTCAACTCTGCAATCCTGGGAGGGATGTGTTAGCAGATGGCGGGGAAACCAAGGCCGTAAAGCTGCCTTTGTTGGTTTGGATTGTATGCAGATTGGATCATAACAAACATCTACTCAACTTTATCCCTCTCTCCCATCTTGTTTACCTTGTCCATATATGGCACTTCCAGCGATTCTGGCAAGTGTAACGGGTCAACAGAGCGCACTAGTTGCACAGAACACACGTAGGGGACTTTTGTGTCTTTGAGAAGTCTCTCCATTGAAACTGCATTCTCTGAAAGCTCTACTCAAAAAAAAAAAAAAGAAAAAGAAAAAGTGGTACCTATTTGTGCAAGGTGCTTGGTGTGTCGTAACAGGCTACGGGTTCACGTAATCCTCCTTCCAATATCTATGTGGGGGGGGGGCGGGCGCCCCGGAGGCTGGAGAGACACCCGGAAAATCAATTCGGTCCGCATCTGCAAACCTGCTCCCTTGGACAATGTGGCGAAGACTGAGGGTGGCGGTTCGAGGGCCCACATGGGGCCCCGCATCCTAGCTTCGCCTTCCCCCGGCCTCCAGGGCGAGCTCCGCTCCCAGGCCCCGAGCTCCTTTGCCCGGCTCCCGGGGGGAGGACGTGGGCAGGCCCCGCCACTGGCTCCAGACCCCGCGCGCCCTTAGCCAGGCCTGCGACGTAGCCCCGCCCCGCCCCGGCGTGCTCTCGGGTGCGCGCACGCACGCAGGCGCGGGGGCGCACGGCGCGGGCACGCGCAGGGCCGGGTCGGCACGGCGGCGGGAGCGCGCGCGGCTCCGGGAGGCGGCGGCGGCGGCGGAAGCGGCGAGGGCGGCGGGCGTCCGGCTCTGAGGAGGAGGAGGAGGAGGTGGCGGTGGCGGTGGCGGCGGAGGCAGCGGCGGCTCTGGACTGGGCTCGGCTGGGAGCGGGCGAGGGTCGGGGGCGCCGGGTCGAGCGCCGATCCCCCCGCTCGACCATCCTCCCGCCGCCCGGACGCCTGGGCCGCGGAGTTTGTGTCCCGGCTCGGACCCCGGCGCCCAGCCCGGAGCCGTAACCTTGAGGCGGCGGCGGCGGGGCCGGGCCGGGCCGGGCCGGGGGGCGGCGGCGCTGGATCCGCGGCTGCCCGATCGTTGGCGGGAGATGTCGAACCCCGGGACGCGCAGGAACGGCTCCAGCATTAAGATCCGTCTGACAGGTACGGCCGGCGGGAGGCCCACCCGCCTCCCCCCGCACACCCCACCGGCGCCCGCTGGCGCCCCGCACGGCCCCCAGCAGCCCCGGAATTTCCCGCAGAGCGCCCCGGTGGAGTGGCCCTCCCCCACGCCGGCCGTTGTCCCAGGACCTCGTCACCCCCCTCCGCGAGTGCCCCTCGCCCCGCGCTCCCGGCCCCGCCCCCTCGCGGCTCCCGGCCCCGCCCCCTCGCTCCTCACCCCCCCCACCTTCCCCCCCCACCGCGGCCCTCCGGCTCCCCTCCTGCCCCCCCCACCTGCCCCGTCGCGTCCCTGCCCGCGGCCCCCCCTCGGCCCCGGGCTCTCCCCTCTCGCTCCCCTCTTGGCCCCGCCCCCCGCCGCTCAGCCCCCTTCCTCCCCCTCGCTTTCCCCGCTCTCCCCTCACCTGCCTCCTCGCTCTCCCTCCCGGCCCCGCCCCTCGCTCTCGGCCCCGCCCTCGCTTCTCCCCACCTCCCCATCCTCTTCGGCTCGGCGGCCTCTTCTCCGCGGTACCCGGCGCTTCGCCCCCCTACCCTCCCGGTTCTTACTCCCCCCGCCCCCACCTACCCCCGTCCGGCTTCTCCCCTCCCGGCCCCGCCCCTTTATTCTCCTCCGGCGGGGCCGCTCCCTTTCCCCCTAGGCCCCGCCCCTGCTTATCTCGCAGCCCCGCCCCCTCGCTGGGTCTCGCCGCCTCCACCCATTCCTTCAGCCTCGAATTCCTCAGTCCTGTGGTGTAGCGTGTCCCGGTCCTGTTCTCTTCACTTCCCCGCTGCTCCAGGCCTCTTGAGTCTGGCCCACTTCCTCTGTGCCTCGGGCCAGGCCACTGTCGGCTGCCTGCCGTGCTGCCCCGGTACTTCCCCCATTGCACTTTCCCAGCACTGCCCCCCATCCTAGAGCCCTGAGTGGGGCTGAGGGTCCCCCGCCCCCCACTGGAGGCTGTGGCAGCTGCACGAACGCCGGCTCCTCGATTCACTCTCACCGAGTCCTCAATGAAGTGCCCGCGTCTCCTCGGAGGCTCTGTAGTGCCACCTTCCAGGGTGAGCGCGAAGCTCGGCTGCGGCCGGCGACGCGGTGGTTCGGCCGCGGGTGGATGCGCCCCTCGCCGGCGGCCCCTTCCCCGGCCCTCGGGGCCACGGAGCTGCGGCCTCGCCTCCCGGTTCAGATTCACACCTTAGGCCGGATCGTAGGGCTGCAGACACGCGTCTGCCAGGGGACTTTCCGGACTCGAGTATTTCCAGCCCTGGAAGGGAAATACAAAGTTGAGGCTAGTTCCTGTCGGGGGGCTTTCCCTTGGATTTTTCTGTTCGATGGCCAGTCTGGCGAGGACCCCAGAGTCAGAGTTCGGTCGGATGCTTTCAGAGAGCAAATTTGAGTTTTGGACACTTTGTGGCAGATGCGTAGCCCTAATTTCGGTAAAATCCATGAAAATAACAATGGGCGATCGTTTTCAAACGAAAGTTTCCTTTGAAAGTACGGAGTTGTTGCGTGACTCACATTTTTCTCAAGAAAAGGGTTGTAATTTTTTTTTTTTTTTTTTTTTTGTAGAAAGGTGTCAGATTAGGTTACAAGATAAGGCGGCCAGGTAATGATTTGGACCCAAATCCAGACCCTGGTTGTGTGAAGAAACAGCCATCTGTCCCAGGGATCTTTGCTTCTGGAGGAACATACTCTGTTCCAGGGCCAGGAGGAAATGCTTCTCACTATGTAGATACAGTATAAAGCATTGTTATTTTTATGGTTACATGAAAGCCATGTTTTTGACTTTGTAATGCTTGTAAAACTTTAATTACTGACAACTTTAATTGGATTCTAATTTACAGTGTAATCTGTAATTGACATCAGATTGGTTTCATTTTTCTTGTTAAAAGCAGAAATAACTGATTTCATGAGTTTTGGTAGAAATGTGATTAATGTTTCAGAAGGAATAGGTTCTCATTACAATGTTTGTATCATATATACATTTATATATCAAACCAAGTTGGCAGGTCTGAGCCTTTCCCTTGTGAAAGGGAGGGAGGGCTTGGTTTGTCCTCCCAAATTATTTTTGGATTCAGAAATTTACATGCCAAAGATACAGAAATGCTTTGAAGAGTTTTGGATGGCATTTGATACTGAAGGATCAAGTGATGAGTGTTATTTCCAAAGCTCCCTTTCCCTTCAACCCTGTTGGTGTTAGTGATTGGGATGATGTGTGAGTGTGGTCATCCCTGAAACAGGATTTTTAGTGGTGATGGCAGATCCATGTCTGTTGTCTGTTGAATGTTAATTTATGTTGAGGTGCTGGAACCTCAGATGTTTTCGTGTAGAGTAGGTTTTGGCATCATCTTTAAGGTTGTCCAGGGCAGTTTGAAAATCTCTTCTTTTCTGGCATATTGGGTAGCCATCTTTCAAAAGTTGTATACTCTTGTTACAAGTTTTAGAGTTTATTTCTATGCGTGATATTTGAAAAAAATTTTTTTTTTTAAAAACAAGGGGCATTCTAACCAGTAAGTAATATCACACAGAGTATAATTCCAGGCAACATCTGAAGACACTGGAGTATAAAACAGCCTTTAAAATTTGAGGTCCACAGTTGTATTTGGTGGTGAGGAGAGCATTGGATTTAAAATTAAGAGACGTGATTTTGGGCAAATCTCCCGTAAACTGCATGATATGGAACAAATTAGGTAACCTTGCTGGGTCTCCGTTTCTTCATATAAGATGAGATTTCAACTTTATTGTAACAACCTTTGATTCTCTTTCTCATTTTGGGTACCTACTTATTCCGCATTATGCTGGGTACTAATGCTGTCTGTTATTAAGTCTCAATGCTGATATTCAGAGATTTCTGTTAAAACACAGCACTTGTGTTTGATTTATGCGAAGCCTTAATTTTGGTGTTGATTATGCTATAGCTTTTTCTCTATGGAACCCTTTCGGTTTTTGGAAATGATTGGGTGGTATGTGGAGCTGCTTTGGAGGCCTGGCCTCTGCAGTAAAAGAATATTTGAGTCTTTATAATTCAAAGAACTTAACTTTAATGGATGTCTTTATTGTATTTTAACAGGAAAATAGTTTTTAAACAGGTCCAGTTAGATTGGGGCATAATTCGTGCAAAATCAAGTTATCTTAAAGAACATTATCTTGCAGACATTTAGAGTTCACTGGCAAATCAAACACTTTGGAAACACTTTTATTTTAAATTCAAGCCGGGTTTGCAAAAACTTTGTTCTTATGTGGTACGCAAATGAATCCCAGATATGTCATTTAGGCCAGTTTGTTGTAAAGAATGGAATTTTGAACCTTAAGGGTTCCATGGTGCTCTTCAAGCAAATTAAATGTTATTCTCAGTGTTAACTAGTTAGTTGAAATAGCAAATGCCTAAACTTTTTTTGTGTTTTTATGCCTTGCAATACTTTCAGATCTCCTTGTGTTTTTATGTCTTTTGGAGTGTGCCTGTGTGTTAGAAGAGAGAAATATTCTAATTCCAAGTCAAGGAGGGGGAAGAGACCTTCCCTGATAGCATGTGGAAATGGAGGCTATTTTTAAAGTTGTAGCACATGGGAAGTAAGGCAGACTTGGGCTTTGGCATCCAGATGATGCAACTTGGAGAGAAATAGTTGTATTAATAACTGTTAATAACTAATTCATCAATAACGGGTGCCTAATTGATTTGGAATAGATCGGTTTCTCTTAAAGGTTAAGCAAGCTGTTAAGAGTGTTGCCTTTGTCCAGTCGTGCCCACAGGAAACTCTCCCTTATGTAAGGCAGGCAGAACTTTTGGTTTTAACAACCGTAACCAGGCTAAGGTGGAATATATCATTGGTGTTTAGCCATGAACTGCTTCTGAGTTTGTAGAACATTTTCTTCAGGGTCAGCCTCAAGTTTAGGAAGGTACGGTCAAGGCACTTATTTGAGCTGAGTTAGCTAAGGGTGTGGGATGGATGGCAAAACTTCAATTTTACTCTAAATCACATTCTTTCAAATACAGGTTTATATAAAATCAAACCGATTTTATTTGTGGTTTGATCACATTTGGGTTGTCTTAAGAGAAGCCTTTTTTTCTCAAATCCATTTTTTAAAAAATATTTATTCATGAGAGACACACATAGAGAAAGAGAGAGAGAGAGAGAGAGAGAGAGAGAGAGAGGCAGAGACACAGGCAGAGAGAGAAGCAGACTCCTCAGAGGGAGCCCGATGTGGGACTCGATCCCAGGATTTGGGGATCACGGCCTGATTCGAAGGCAGACGTTCAACTGCTGAGCCACCCAGGTGTCCCTCAAATCCATTTTTTTTTTTTTTCAAATCCATTTTTTTTTTTAAAGCTTCTTGCCCCACTTAACTGACCTGGGCAATGAAATATTTCTTACACTTTATTTCTATCTGTATTTTTATAGCAGTTGTAATGAAATCCAACTAGAGTTTTTTGCCTTCAAGTCTAACTATTTGAGGTCAGAACTCCTGTTTTTGCGACCGTGAAAGTGGTACCTGAACTTTGAATTTTTCCTTCTCTTTTACAAATTTTCATTTTCTCTGGTCACGTTGTTGGGTCCTAGTGTGGAAAGCTGGGGGTAAGGGGAGGTTCTGGGGGCTGAGTCACTTGGGAAGAAGTCTTTCCTCATGAATAAGAAAAAAGAAAGACTGACCCATAATATTTCAACATCAGCTCAGTGATCCACTTGACTAGACTGGCAGTTTTGTAACATGTTTGTGGGCACTGGTTAAAAGTTAAAATAGCTGAATTGTGCATTTTATTGAGTGCCAAGAGCAAAAGGGAAGTTTAAGAACCTTCTGAAATAGATGAAATAATTTAGTATTTTGGCAAGCCTCAGATTTTCTGGTTGAGAAACCCTAACTTTTAGAATTCTTATTTGGATCAAATTTTTGTAATTTCAGAACCATTTTAGAGGTTAACTATTTTTAAACAAGTAGAGAATTAAAACTGTGTGGCCATTTATTTATTTATATCCCTCAGCTTCGTAAGTGACTGGTTTGCTTGCTGTTCTGT